CTGATGGAAGAAGAAGGCTCTTCTTCGGCCCTACTGGGACTTATTGCTTCATTTGAGTTTTGAGTTTTAAGTTTAGTTGGGATGCGGTTACTGCCTCTGGTTGCGTGCCACTGGAGCCAGAAGCCAGAGGCTAAATGGCTTCGTTGCATTTAGTTTTCGTTTTCGATATACTTAATGAATTCACATTCACATTCACCGTTCGATTCATTCGCCAGCTGACTCCTGCTCTGGAGGATGACTTTGACCTTATGTCGTCGTCGCACGCAGCCCAATTGAAACGTTTAATTGCATCAACCAGGACTCGGGGCACAGGACTCAGAACTCAGGACACAGGAGTCTCTGTGTAGTTTCTGGGGGCCATTGTCATTAGCGTAATTAGATCTTTCAGTTCAGTTTCAGACTTTAGCTTGGCGTGTCCTTCTCGCTGTAATTTCTGTTCTGTTCTTTCCTTTCTTTTTTTTTTCTCCACTAATTTTGATGCCATGGTACGTGGAACGTGCGCAATTTGTTTACCATCAACATAATTGGCTTGTCCATCGTCCGGGTCTTGGGTCCCGTCCCCTGGGCCCACTTCTGACTTTTTTAAGCGCTTTTTTATTTCATCGGGAAAGTCTTGGCACAGGGCAATTAGTTGAAATGATTAAGCTGATGCGCCGTACTCCTCCTCCACTCCCACTCTGACTCCGGCTGAGTCTCTGAGGCCAACTCTCTTTGGCAATTACATTAGTGTTCGATAAATTAACCGCCACGCACTCACTCAAATTGCCTCGACTCGACCATCTATCATAGGGATAATACGAGTGCCCATCAGGACCACCAAAATTCGATCAACGCAACAGCTGCGGTGCTTCGGATTGTGACAAGCTCAGACAATGCCGAACTGTTTTCAATTGGCCTTATTCAAATATTGTGAGTCCTCGCTGGCTCGTTTGCTCGTTTGTTTGTCGGTTTGTCAATCACGGACTGCCACAGCTCGTCACATTGATCGATCTAGTTCAGAGGGATGTTCCTGGATATGCAGTTGGGATTCCCCATTCCCTCTGTTTACCACACGCCACACAGGGCACACAGGCCACACATTGGAGGAGGCTGATGATGATCGATCACACACTCACATAGCCCTGACATTTTCCCAGTTTCTGCATTGATTTTGCCCAGTGTCATCCGGAAGAGAGAACTACAGCACGATCATGATGGAACAATTGTTCTCAATAATCTGTATGTTTATACGTACGTATATGTACTTCTATATTCTTTAGTTTAGAGTCGAAGGTCCCCTGCAGCCAGTACTCGTTAAGTTCATTATGTTTAGTATTGTATACTAGATTTTAGTTTAATACGACAATTGTTCTTAAAAGTGTAAGAACTTAAGATCTGGCATTGGTTTATTATTTTAGTTTTTATCTGGGAATATTATGTTCATTCATAGATATTCCACAGATATTGTAAGAACTCTTTCTTTTGTGATCTTTTCAATATGAATTATTAAAAGTTCTCTTGCCTTAATGCATGATTTTACTGACACATTATATTAGAGTGTGATTAGAATATCTTTAGATTTTCTGCAGTCAATAAAACAACTCTTAATGTGGAAAGAACTCATTGATGGTGAAGAATTGTTGATTTTTATCCTCTAACCTGCAACTCTAACAGTACGATCAGTTTCTCCCAATTTCGAAGGCCTTCTTCAACTGCTAACTCTGGGATTGAACAACATTTTTATTGTCCGCTGTATGTAATAACTTAGATCTCATCCCCTCAAGAAATACCCCCTTTAGTTGTTTCTTCTCTTTTATGGTCCCTTGGCCCACTCGCTGCCTAAACGTTTACAACTCCCTGAGCGACTTGGAATAATTTGACACTTGACTGCTCGACTTGGTTATACGCGTTCGCGTACATGGATCATTTTGTTGATGTCAACTTTATGACTTACAACTCTTAAAAAACCACACCACGGCACACACCCCACACCGCCCTTCAGAATACACATAAAAAAGTAAATCCCACGCAGGAAAACTAATTAAAAAGACCTTTTTTGGGGCGACAATAAAATTTATGAAAATTAACATAAAAATTTGTGTGCGATTAACTCGAAAAGGCACGCACACCCAGCGAGAGAGAGACATTTTGGCCATATGGAAAATCACATAATAAACAAAAACGGAACAAGAACAAGGGCAATAAAAGCAAATATGGCAACACACGTGCGGGTGTGCGGGAGAGGGTAGAGCAATCATGGGGAAAGTGGGAGTTGGAGTGGGAGTGGAAGATGTTGATGGGGCTTGCTTATCATTTGCAGACAGAGTTGAGACTGAATTTGGCGACAACAAGTCACGACAGCAGCAGGAGTGAGAACAGGAGCGACATTACCGGAAACGGGACCAACTTCAACGGAAATGACAGAAACTTCAATCAGCGAGGAGGCTGGACACAGGTGACGAAACTTTTGATACCCTTTGCAGATTGATTCTACATATTTTTGGTAGCCTAAAGAAATCTCAAATTATGTTTGATTGAAATATATCTAGAAATAATTTTTCTCTTAAAAGGAACGATTCCAACTTAATCTTAGATGGAAATGTTATTTATATTTTTTTAAAGCTGAAATTTATATTTCTAAAAAATATTTCTTCTGTACGCAACAAATAAAACAAAATCGAAATCAAAATCATAATACCCGCCTTCTAGGGTACAACAAAAGTTAAGCTCTGTGGCGCATCCAAAGCGATTGGGCTGATTGGAGTCAGTGTGTGTGTGTGTGTGTGGCTGAGTGGTGGGATGAGTCGGGATGGGGGTGGTTCCGAGTCTTGTGCGCCAGTTGGCGCTACCCGAAGGTGCATGAGTATATAAAATACACAATATACGGAATCTCACACGCTCGCATTATGAGTAATGTGCACCTTATGCCGCCGCCAAGTCGAATGTGATTAGGGGAAACAAAACTCTCTGGCTTTTTCCGCTGGAAAATCTGTTTAGAGAATTTTATGGGCTTTATTAACCCCTTGACTGATGATGTGGTCGGTCGCTGCTGTTTGGAAATCCCAATATTATGATGGCATCATTTACACGCCGCATTTCCGATTAAAGTTGATCTCTGAACTGATCTGTTCCAAGGGGGTTGTTGCGAGTAGTTCTGATCTCATCCACAGGGGGTTGTTAGTTTTATGTGCATTTTTATGGTTTAATTTGATTTTAGAGGATTGTTGGGATCTCTATGAAAGCAGCTTAAAGTGCTAGAGAATATTTTGTAGAAAATCAAACCAAAATTAGCTACAGTTTCCCAACACACAGCCCCTCACTTCCCACACAATTTTCGCCCCACCCGTCTGACATTAGACTTTGGGCGAAGCTCATCAAAATTAATTTTATTGCAAGCCAAAAACTTTCCACAGCAATTTGCCAGAGAGACAGAAGACAACCAAATGCCAATTTCTAAACGCTTTTTGGGGCGGAGTAAAACTTTTGGTTAATTAAACGCAAATTGTTGTGGCGGCAAATTGCGAAAAAATTGCCAAACTTTGTCGCCGAGCTATTAAAAGCCTTTTGTCACAAAAGTTTATTGTCTCACAGTCGCAGAAAAAATCCAAATAAAAAACAAAACAAAAAGGGGTTAATTACACAACACAGAAGAATAAGGGTAAGGCAAGGGTACGGGCCGGACCAAAAGAGGTAGAGAAACAAATGACACTCTGTACTTTTTGGCTTTCATGTCAAAGCCATAAAAATGTTTTCGGCAGTGAAAGAGATGACAAGAAAGAGGAAAAGAGAGGGAAAGAATGCTGCTGTAGAAACAAATATGGCGTCGGGAGCTTCCTTTGGGGTTTTTGGCCCACTTGAATGGCCAAGTATGTGTTGACACTGGCATGTAGTTGTTGTAAGTAACGATGGCACCACCGGAGAAGCAGTATCCGAAGCAGAGGAGCAGTGGAGGTGGTGTGGACTGTGGCAGTGGGTGGTTGAAAGGAGGTGATGTCCGTGTGTCCTTGGTGTCCTCCTCTTTGGCGTCGCCTTGCGCAAATTTGCCACTTCAACAGCTCCTTGCGGATGCCGTAAGCACTCTTGTGAACGAGCTCTGAGCATTTTCATTTATTTTCCTCACATTTTCTTTGGACGCTCGCTCTCTCCATTTCGCCATCTCTTTCTGTTTCGGTTTTGGTTTCTCTGTCTGTGTGCTTGCCACACCCACTCGAAGGAAGGAAGCCCTGGAGAATTTATGCTTGTGCATTTTTATTCCAGTTCTTTTTTCCCCTTCGACTCCTTGGTTCTGCTTCGATTTTTTGGCAACTTGGAAAGTTGTGAAACGATGCTCACGGAATTTTAAACAGCAGCAGCGACTCCCTTTACGTTTTTGGGGCAGATCCTTGGGTTGGGTGTTTGGGTGTGCTCTGGGTGGGTTTTTTGGTTAGGGGGGGTTTTTTTTTTGTCAATATTGTTACAGCAGCAGCGGAAAATGTGCTGTGAATTTTAAATTGGTTTTCTCTGGCTTCGCTGAGTTGCTTACATAATCAGCAGCGAAAACTTTTGTCTGATTTTGGAGATTGTTATATCTCTTGCATCCGGAAGTATCTAGAACCAACGTTTCAATTGAAAGAAAGGATTTTAATGGGTTAAGTAAGTAGAGGTTATGTTGAACGAGTGGGCCATATCTCAAACGGGTTAGATATATATTCGAAAAGGTGTGTAGGATCATAATTGCTGTACATATTGTATACTTTATCGCTGTAAAATATATCACAGATATGTCAGACATGTCGGTAGACCAGTATAGATAGATCCACAAAAAGATGGTCCAGAAGGACTGGGCGACATTAAAATATAAAATAAAATATAAATCGGAGCGCTGAAGTCATTACAAACTATCATGGGTCATTCTGGAATTAAAAACGGTTCAGCAGAACAGGCCCCTGTGCTTTCTCCATTAGGTTGCAGTCAATCGAATCTTCTCCGGATTTTTCATATTTCCTCTACTGCTTTGGCTTTGCTTTCAACGTCTTTGTTTGTGTGTATTTTTTTCAGATTTTGTTTGGACGTGTACAAGTACACATAAAATTTGTAACTTACAAATTTTTAGTTTTTTTTTTTTATTTTGCGAAGCGTAAAGGTAAATTTCCAAAAATATATAATTTAAGGCAACAATAGAAATGATAGTCCCAAATCTTATGTAGATGTTCCGACTTGTCAATTTGATTCACCATTGCCTGACGGTCATGTGCCCTGGCGAGGTTCAGCACAATCATCCAGGTCGTCTTGGGAAGTGCTTCATACAGGCAGCTGAGCGTCGTGCGAATTGCGTCCCGTCAAATCTTCGACATGTGTCCCGCTCTGAGAAGCGTGAAGGATGGTTCAATAGTTTAAATTGTGATGGAAATGGCGAAGGTCAGAATATCCTTACGCAGACTGTGGAGTGATAAATTACGTAGGAGAAGGTCTTATCCTGCATGTTATTTTTATTTTAAATTTGAAAAGGTAAGTTTACCCTTGCAGTGCCCATTGCATGCGTATCCAATGATCCTCAACTTTCCTTTCGACAGTTAGCCTTAGATGCCTAGCCCTTCTTCGATCTTGGGGTCCTTGAACGGATTATGATTACTGCTGGCCTCTGGGCCCTGGGCAAATTTTGTACTGTTTCATTTTCCGACAAAGATTCTGTCTACAAATGATACCAGTTGATGGAGAAAATACCAAAGATACGCGTAGAGTCTCGGGCTGCATATGCTTGGAAGCAGTGATGGAAGCAGCTTCTCTGATGACTTGTGGAGAACCAAGACACTCGGGGTTTGAACAAGAGACAGATATTGTGAAATATATGAGGTATATGCTGTATATATATATATAATAGTAACTCAAATGTTAGATGGTGATCTACCGGAAAATTACAATATCCAACCTCCAAATAATTTCCATTAACTTTTCTTTTGTAATTCCCACCTGGAAACGAGTCCCAGCCAATTACACGCCCTTTCCCAAGCCGAACAGTAGGCAGCAAAACGGTTTATTATATTTCCAAAAATGGTTGCAACCACCCCCCGTCCCCAGCCACTGCCCCTGCCACCGGCGAGTATAATCATGACCAACGAAAAACAATTACAGCCAAAAAATGAGATATACGTATAAGCAGACAGACATACTCGCATATAGAGACCGACACTTATGCTTATCTGAATAATTTATGGTTAAAATCAGACGCAACCGCTGCTGCGGTGGCTGCCTCTCCTGTGGTTGTTGTTTTCTGGAGTTTGGGAATTGCACCACGTGGTGCGGGGCACCACTCCACTCCACTCCACTCCAACGAAATGCTAATAGGCGCCACCCAGAAAAACACAAAAATTGTAAAACAATTAAAATGTAATAAGCAGAGGGGTCAGCTCTCAAAGTCAATGGGCGGCGGCACTCGCCCAAGCCGTTTTTCCTTTTCCGTTTTCATTTTTATTTTTTGTGAGGGGGGGCTGGAAAATAGAGTAATTAATAATCTTGACTGTCCGAAGCAGGTAACGCCTTTATTAGGCAACTACTGGTCGAAAAATGATAAACAGTTTTTCTTGCACAAGCTGAAAAAAAAAGTAGTGACCAAAGTCCGAGTCCGCGACGAAGTTGTCAGGCCTGTCAGGGCCGGACTGGGTCGCTTGGCGCCAAGGATGTCAGCGGATGCTTGGGATCCCCTGCAGAGCTTTTGATTGACACCTGACGTTTGCCTGGGTTTTGCAGTTAACGGAGCATTGCCGGAGTTGTCTTGACAACGTGACTGGGTTGGTTTCATTTCTTAATGTTTTGGGCTTGCCAGATGCAAATGTGTTGATAGTGGGTAGAAATTCGTCTTTCAGGGTTTGTTGGCTAACTGGGTTGTATGTACCAGATCAGATTGGGATGAACAGTTGGATGTACCGTTGAGGGGGAATTATGCTGCTCATGAGAGCAAAGAGCATGAGGCAGATCTAAGATAGAAAGCGAAAGACTCTTACATGTTTAAGTGTATTTTGCATTTAGTTGTTCTTACATAGAAAGGGTAAAAGGCAGGTAAAGTTTGTTATTGAAGATAGACAATATAGAATATCTCTCAGGTTCGGAATAAATATATTTATTAAAGAGCTGTAAGTGCTGTAATCCCTGAACCAACCGAACTATCTCTGGGTTCCCATCCTCCATAACTTTCCATCTTGTATCTGTTAATCATCTCACTGACCGAAGCCCTACAAAACCCCAAGCGTTGAATGCACGTGGCAACCCATAAAGCCCATATAAATTTATACCCCTATATACATATACACGTGGCATCCGCCTACATTGTATGTACATACTTGTGTATATACACATAGCCATGAAACCATTCAGACTGGCTCTCGGGGCAGGAGCAGAGCTAGCATCAGAGTGAAAGGGACACAGCGCAGACAAGCCCAAAGCGTCAAGTTGTGAAGCTGTGTGCAAAAAATCATTAACACGCACACGGACACACACAGCCACACAGCCACACAGCCACCCAGAAAACCAAAACCCCCATCATGGATGGGTGCCACATGGCTGGCAGTGGGTGGCCATGGGGCAACCTGAGCTGGCTGTCCCTGTCGCTCTGTTTGTGGCGCCTCCTTCCGGTGCAGGCAGGGTCTGGGCGAGACTTGCTTAAATTACTTGGGTTTTTACATGCGGCAGTGAGGCACATTAACACTGTAATGTGCAAAAAGTGTTCCTCTCTACCCGTATGTGTGTGTGACTGTTCTGTGTGCCAGCTAGTGTGTATGTGTGTGTGTGTGTGTGTAAGAGAGAGAAGGAAAACAACATGGCGTCCTTGTAGCCTCTGTGTCGTTGTAGTTGTAGTCCGAGTGGCACTCATTGTGATGCAGAAAGGGAGTCGGAAAAGGGTTTATGCGGATGCAGTAATCATAATAAAATTATATTAACAGCTGAAGCTGCCTCCAACTGACTCTCCATCGCATACAATCTGAGGATAAATCTATAGAGCTATATTTTGTACTACAGAATGTTTGCTGAATGAAAGCGAGCACTAAGAAAGTATCATATGGTGATTTTTAGTTCAATTGCACACAAGTACCAACTCCAATCGAGATTGTAAAACACTTTACATTAGTTTTACACTGTATCAATTGATTCTGTTTAAGTTTCTTCCGCTTAGTGTCCCTATACAAACTACCTCTAGATACACTCCTATCTATCACTGATTCTACAGCAATGTGTCCGCATAAACCTCAAGGCTCCATGGTGTATGCCTGGTGGGCGTCAGATACTTTTAGTTAAGATTAATTGTTATATATTAACATGGCGTCGAGTTACGAAGTCTGCGAAAACGAGCTATTTACAAGCTAAACGAAAGTTGACTTTGCCCAAACGACCACGAGGAGCGGAACGGGCGGCCGGAGATGAGTGTGGATGCTGCTGATGATGATGTTGATGTAAATGTTGTCTCCTGCCTAGAATCGCAGTGAAAGTGTCTGGAAATGAGGCTGAGTGGCTGAGTACAGTATCATGGACCGTAAGAGAGAGTGAGAGCTTTGAGCAACTTTAATAAACAGTAGAAATATTCAAGTCCGCCTTCTGTTTATGGCATATCTTGTGTGTGTGTGTGTCTGCTAGATTTATGTTTGCCCATTTTCGTGTTTTATCATCAGCTGCGACTGGCGCTGGATCGGGAGTGGAATTATTCATGTTTTTCGCAATGTTACTCATACGCCGCGTACTCGCATGAAAAGGGTTCAAAATGGCTGCCATTCTGGCCTATTGCGTTTGAATTATGAGCCAAAAAGGGTCGACTCTCTTTCTCTCCCTCTCTCTATAGATATCTTATCGTAATATGGTTTGGCCATACTTTTGCTGGGGCTCTGTAATGGAGAGTGAAATGTGGTTCCGAATGTGGTGCGAAACGGGAGTTTTTCTGATTTATAAGTGTGGCAACTTCTGAAACCTCTTTAAGGGATTAAAATTGGCTGTTCTCCCTAACCTTTATGGAGAATTGTTTTGCTGTATTGCATTTTGGATCGATTATGGTCTTAATTAGGTTTCTCAATGGCCCTCTGAATCACATTTGAAAATGTTCAGTGAATATTCAAGCCACATCCCACTTTTATGTCTATGGCTATAACAATTGAGTGTTATCTATCGCAGCGACATCTTGGCATATGTTCGAACAACCCGCCACTCCCGCAGACCATCCTTTAGCCTCATTCCATCCCTGACAACTGTCGCATTTCGAACCACAAACAAATTGGTCGATGACTTGGGAGATGGAACCCACCGCTCCTCTCGAGAGCATATTGACAATGCTAACTGGAAGTCAATACGGAAATGGTTAGTATCTTTGTATTCCTTCTCCTGCCCCGCCCCATTTCCGTCTGCCACTGCCTCAGCCACCACCCACACTCAACGCGCTGTCACTTTGGGCGCAAATTTCGCCATTTCCACCCTCGCTAATGTGCAAATAAAAATGTTAAAAGGGTCCTGTAGCACTCAATTACACGCCCTGGTGACCATCTCTCCTTTCCGTTGCTGACTCTGCCTCTGCCTCTGCCTCTTCCCACTTGCCACTTGCCACATACAGCGGTAACTGCGTGAGCTTTGGCCCGCCTTTGTGTGCGTGACTTGCCTCTGTCTGTATGCTGTCCGTGTGTGTGTTTGTGGGTATATGCTAAGGCTTCGCTTTGCTGCAGAGAAAACATTATGGCGCGCGAACGGAAGTTGCCATCTTGTTGATGGCAGTTAAAGATAAGCGAAAGCGAACAAAAAAAACCCCAAGCAGGACGCGAGTTTTTTTTATGGTCGAGTTTCGCTGGGCTTTAAGGGGTATATTGGGTTTTCGGTTCGGGAAAGAAAAAGTCTTATGTAATGGTAATGGGATTTTTGAAAGATGGAAATTAATAATATAACTACAATATCTTCTATGTTATAATACGTACATATGTATGTACTACGTACATATTATGTACTACATGTATGGAAATCATATCGATTGAATATTAATCACTAATGTATTCAACCACACTTAACTAACGCATTCCCCCTTTTCCAAGGTATTCCTGGATAGACTCTCCCCAAACTTCTTCATCTCCTCCTTTTACCATTTTGTCTGTTAGATTTTCATGGTTTTCCGCGCTTCTCGCTGCTTGGCTGCTTTTTATTGCCGTGCATTTTATGTTATTTGTTTCTATTTTTTGTGCCTTTCCACTTTCGTTCTATCTTTCTTTCCTTCCGACGCGTCGGCCATGTTGGCAGTTATCTCTCTGTTTCTGTTTCGTTTCCTGCTGCCCCATCCACTGCTCCATCCCTAGCCCCACTGGGTAATCCTCCTTCTGTTTTTGGCATTTAAGTTTTATGGCTGTTTGTTTCGTTATTTCTCAGTATTTTTTCCACTTTGCGCTGCGCTCCTAATTTGCAATTTTGTATGGAGACATGGACGACGACGCCTTAAAGCGGTTTTGTCATGTCATTTGGTAATTGGGTGGCAGCGGTTGGCACTTTATATATTTCGCCGCCAGTTGGCAGCGCTCTCGCCTCCATTCTGGTCACACATGGTCACACTGGCCGCTGGGCTAGCATGATAAATGTGACCGCTCTCAGAGGACGTGGGACGTGGGAGCCCTGACGACAGTTTCGATATCTAAATTTATTTTTAACGGAGGAAAGACCCCTATCTTGAAGTTGCTTTCAAGAACCACTGGGGAGTCGTCGCCCACTGTCGGTCCAAGCATATTTTGTATAATTTTGTAAGCCATATTTGGCCAAATTAAGTGCCCCATAAAGTCCACGTTTTTACAGCTCGTAAAACAAGACAAGAATCGA